GTAAGCAGAAAATAATTCAAGACTGCTGATTGTAACATTGTGCTTTGTAGGACATGTCGCTGTATCCCAACCATTAGCTTCTCCAGGCATACACACTCCAATGTCACCAGTAATTCCACATCCCACAACTACTGCATTAGTACCTCCCCTGGCCAAGATGACTTCTCCTCAAACAGGGCCAGCAAATCATATTGCAGTTCCTGTTTCAGCGCAGCAATCACAGCAACCGATGACATTGGGTAGTAGCCATATGAACCATGCCCAGCAAATGGTCTCTGGGCAACAAGTTGGAACTCAACCAGGTCAGCAGGCAATGCCAATGATGGGCAACTTCATTCCTGCAGTGTCTCCTCACCAAATGCCACTTAACTTAACTATGATGCCTCCACCTGGGACATCTGTGCCAACTTGTCAAGTCACAGTACAGCCACAGATGATGCCAGTCAGCAGTGTGGCTCCTCATCAACCTCCAGTGGTTCCAGGAATCAGTCAAATGCCAGTCATTGTGTCAGTTCAGCCTGGTATAGATGGACTACCACATGGTATGCCACACCTTCCAGAAAATGTTGGGCAAATGACTGGAACACCCCATCTTGTCCAAGTGCACCCTGTTCCCATGACAACACTCCCTATGCCACCTCCTTTGCAGCCAATAACCTGCAGTGATATGCCATTACCTTCAGTGCTTCAGCCCTTGTCAGTCATGTCACCTGTGGTACAGATGCCGCTTGCACAGGTGCAGGGACCTGTCAGTGTTCCACAAAACAATGGTAATACAACTAGTGAAAGCCAACCAGAATCCCCCATATATGAAGTTAAACTTGACACTCCTGTCAAGGACCAGGCCACTGAGAAGCCACACCCAGCAGCTGGTGTATCAACTCCAGACAAGGTTAGGGAAGAAAATAAGTCTGAAAGTCTTAAGGTGGAAAATGGTGATGACGAGACAATAATAGCAGAAAATGTTACGATTACAACTGAGAGTGAAGATCAAAACACTGACAGCTCTAAAACTGGTGTTAAAGTGGAAGATTATGATAAGTGTTCCAAGAAGGAACAAAAACATGAAGAAGCTTCAAATCATATCAGTAGTGGTCAATCCAATGAGGAAAGTTGACTCTTTGTTGACAACAGTAATAATTATTTCTGACTGACTAAATAATACGTGTCCGCATGGAACTGCTGAATGTGGCTGGATCACATTTTTTTGCATAAAAAGGTAGCATGGTTGTGAATTTAAAGCACACGAGGAGTAGCCTGAGATCATGCTCTCTTCCTATTATCGCTATATCTAATCGCAAGTTGATGAGGAGGTGACGAGGGTTGTTAAATAAACTTCTTCAAGCCTTTGGAATTTAAGACAGGGAAGTCAACTTCTAAAATGAAAGGAAAATGTAATTAATAACAATATTTTTGCCAAAATTCATTTAGTCCACTTACTTACATTGAACAAAAACATATCTTTATTAATTATTGTGATATAGTATCATTGAAGTCTCCCCTGTGGAAAGACTAATGTGTATACTGAATAGAGTAAAATAGAATAGAATGATAGAAATCTACAAATTCGACAAAGAAAAAAAATTTATAAGTCATTGCAGCGCCGAGTCATTTCTAATAATATTCAGTTTAGGTTCGATCTTACTACGTGAATTATTTAATAATAATTTAATGTTCAGTTGATGGAACAAAATGCAGTGTTTTGATTCCACAATACTTACATTTACATACCAAGAAAAGAAATAGAATGTGATATTATTTTTTAGTCATTTTAAACTTGTAAATAAATGGTACAATATGAGCTAGTTCAAATAATGAAAATTATAGTGATATTTCATACAACAAGAGATTCAAAAGCGATCTATATAGAAGTGTCCGAACTTATTACATATTTATGTCCTTTACCAATAATGGTCAATTTAATAGTGGCTTTTAAAACAACGAGAATTTCACTAATATAGTCGAGTTCTAATTCATTAAGGTAATTTGGATTTAGTGTCCTTACAAGAATTACACAAATTGTTTTCATATTTATTAACCAAAAAACTCCAATTTTTTTTCCAAATGTGACTTATAGTGAAATATAAAAAGATTATCTTCAGTGCGATACGAATGATTTTACTATAGGTATTTAAAAAATTAATAGATTTTATTTTTATTTTGAACAAATCGATACACTTGGATGTAGAATTTTTTATTATGACTTTCAATGTTTAAACAAATATTAACATTTTATCATAATTTGTATAGAAATGAAAATGTTATTTTGTACTTCGAATAAAGCGCTTATTTTCCTGAAGGGAATTAGTTTTGTTATTTTGCGATTTTCTCTACAGTATCCAGGCGATATCCAATAGCTAGAAGGTGGGCAAGGAAAGACGAGGTGTTGTGACTAAATGATAGTTAAATTTTACTGGAGGGTTAAAATGGGCAGTGTTCCTCGGGAACTAAATACTCCCCCTCCCCTCCCCAGTTAACTAGATTTTTCAGTTAAAATTCGTGAAGTGCAGGGTTCCGCGCAACTCGTACATAAAACTTACTGGCTCGTTCTTGCTGGGTCTCTGATGTAGATTAATGGGAAATGATACCCCATATAAGAGAAAATTGAGTGAACAGTCGTTTATATCCATAGAGGTATGTCTCGGTTACGAAAGAAAGAAGAAATAAAAACGACAACGCTTTCATTACAAATCAAAAACGTACAGACATTAACATTGAAGTTCGAATGAGGCCTTGTTTCCTACTGAAAAACAACATGCAAAGACTACAGATGTTATTTGACTTGTACAGGTCAGATTGAGCTGGAGCCACGCCCACTATAGTTTCATAATAGAGGTACCTTCTTCGCCCTGGCCTTTAGCTTTCCTTTATAACTCCCCTTTTACAGCCCTATGTAAGTGACTCGCTTTTGCGAAGCTCTTGTGTTGGCTTTAACATAGCATTTTATGAAAATTTAAACAATTCAAAACAACGAAATAACGTTTGATTTTAAGAATAAATAAAAACAAAACATGTTTTTGATAATACACTTTATGGAGAGGCTCCTCCCAAAAAGTGGTACCTTTTTCAGGCTTCAGGGTATATGAAAGGGTAGGGAATTTACGGGATGGAAAGTTCTGAACTAGGTATCGAAAGTGGTACCATTAGTCAATAGAAGATATACGAAAAGGGTATCTTATCTGTCGAAAATGGTATGTAAATTGAAAAGGGTAACGGGTTTGACCACTGGGCGGAGCCTTCCCCTATAAAACGTGGTTTAGGAGCATCCTGGGTTTTGTTTTCTTTCCTGAAAAGTCTGTTAGAGGCCAACAGGTGAGAACTTTTGAAGTCAAAGCAATTGATTTTTAAAGGAGAGAAATTAACCGTTTGCCGTAGAAAAGTAGAAAACTTATAGCCCTTTATTACATCCACTTTGAAATCACCGGCAATCCGTTCAATCTGATTGGCTCTCAGCAGTGTGATTTATTCCCTTATACTACTCAGCAATTTGAGTGTGGATTTTTATTCCCATGTGAAAATCACACCACTTGTGATATTTCAAAATTGTCTCAAATTTCACTCGCCTAACGGCTCGTTTTTACCAAATATCTAAATCGCAAATCTTTCCCCAGCCAATGAAAAAAGGACCAAACAAAAACAGCACAACCAAACAGATTTCAAATCTTGTGAATTTAATAATAACAAATCGTTAACCTCGCCAATGGTTTTGATTATTTGTTCAAAAAAAAGGTTAAAAGTGGATGTAATGAAAGTGGTAATTGTTAAAAATATCCGATGATCGTGTCGTGCAATTTTTTGTTCTGAAATCAAATCAAAAATCAAATCTTGTGTAGTAACAAATCAAGTTACAGGTAAAGTGGATGTAATAAAGTGGTAATTGAACTTCGTGTCGTGCAATTTTGTTCTGAAATCAAATCAAAATCGCTCTGCGCGCTCGTTCAATTTTGAAATCATGCGTATTATTTCAAACCAAATTGCACTAATGACGAAATAGTCACGTTCGCTGGTAGAAGTCTACTGGTAAGTTCTCGTTTATATCTGACCGTTCCTTAGAGCTTTCCAACCCCCCTCCCAGCCCTCACACACCGACCTTAGGGCGTGGTTGCACGTTTTATGTTTTATTTCTTCTACTGCGAATATCCAGGCTACTCAGAGTTCATTTCCTTTTTATCCAGAGTGAATGATGGAATCTTACAAGGGGCGGACCCGTAGAAAAAGTATGGCGGGGATGGGGAATTTTCTTTGGTTATTTTTCCCTTGCATGATTATTTTTGTACTTCGCCGGCTCCCCCGTCCCCGCTCACTTTTCCAATGTTCCTACTCCACAAGGCATCCTGTGAGCTGAGGTTTCTCTAAATGCTCTTGGCTTTTGGCCACGTCAGTTTTGAAAGGAGTAACACACAAACTGCGGTAACAAACATCAGAAATAACAAACGCATTGTATAACTGACTTTTATAATATCGAACTTGACGTGTCGTATGCTTCAACATACATCTCCAGAAGTGACCGTTGACAAGAGTAGTAACTAAATTTAAATCAAAAAACAAAGTAAGATAAGTAACTAATTAACTTGAAGGAAAAAACAGAAGTTTCTCTCTTGCATGGCTTTTTTGCATTGACGAAGTCGTTCGCGTCACTTGTCAGTCGCGTGGTTGGCTTGTTTTATAGGCCCCAGGAGAAAACAAATCAACTACGCTACTGACAAGCCACGCCAACGACTTCGTAAACGCTAAAAGCCATGCAAGGGTACCCTAAGGTGGTATAAGTAAACGAAATGCTATGGAGGTGTGGCTATTCAAATAAAACTTCCCTAGCTTTGCTTGGTAGTACTGTCAAATCATAGTATTTGTTTTTAAGTATTTTTACGAAATGAAGTTTGGAAACGTTGTCGAATTTTAACTCGGCCACTTTTGGAAACTTTCGTCTAGTAAATGACGTAATGACGCAAATCTTGGATAGTCACAAGATTCTGACGTCATTTCTAACCCTTGGCATATACGTCATGTTTTTGTGTTAGTTACCGCTGACCGAGTATGTCTTGCCTTTTCAAACAAATGACATTTCATGGCGAGCAGCACGTTTGACAGGAAGTAGTTTTAATTTTGCCCCGAAAGAGTTGACTTACATTTGCTTGAAATGGGAGCAGTTTTAGGAGTGTGTTCGGCTGCGACTTGTGCCGCAAACTTAGCTTGTTGTTGTGGCTCTGCGGCCTGTGGTTTGTGTTGCAGAGCGTGTCCGTCCTGCAAGAACTCAACTTCGACGAGAATTGCCTACTCGTTGTTTCTTCTCTTCGGTTTGATCACGTCTTGCATAGTTTTGATACCTGGAATTAGAGACCAGCTTGACAAAATACCACATTTTTGTCAGGTAAGAAGCCTTTCTTGATATATTCTATTACCAGTTGATCCATGTTTTGTTGTGTCAAACTCAAGCTTATTTTACATTTTGCAGTTCGATTTTATTGTTGCTTTAATTAAAATATTATTTTCCTTTGTGTTTCAGTATGGTTATGAATGAAAATGATTTCCAAACAAAAGAAAAAAAATTTAAACCTAGGGTAATATTGAACCACAACATATGCACAGAACTTTGTTTCTATCCTTCCAGCTGGTTTTAATTTAAGAGCCCGTTCTGAGCTTTGTTGTTTTTTAATTTTGAGCCTACAAAAACTCTTTTAGCGTTTAATTCTTTGGAGTGCGACTATGTAAATGATAACTAATACAGTGCTCTCCTTTCATTGCTGTAATTTAGTACCATGCTAGCATTTTTAGAGAATTCAAATCCAATTTTGCTTCTTCCTTTATATTTTGAAAGGATATGAACATGCGTTCCCAAAAATGAGAATGGAATGACCCATTAATTTTAAAGTGGAGACTTTTCTAACCATAGAAGTGAGAAAAAAGGCTGCACACTTTTGTTTATCAGGGCTGGCCAGAAGTTTGGGGTATGCATGTACAATAGTTTGGCATATTAGCTGTGGTCACACTACAGACTTTTACCCAGGTAAAACCGATTTACCTAGGGCAAATTGATCAAAAATCTGCCTAGGTAAATTCATCTCGGGTTTTGTTTTACCTAGGTAAAAATTCTGGGAAGGTCACACTACTGATATCGGCTCCCAAAATTGTCACGTCAGTTGAATTTTTGGGAACGTAAATTCAAGAAGGCAAAATGCGCAGGGATCTAGCTGATCAAAGAGACGTTTTTTCTTTTATCTCGCTGTTATTTTTACGCTAATTCAACGTGCAAGGTGAAGAAAGGCGAAGACGTAGACGACTCGTGCTCCCAAAATTTCTTTCACAGCGTGATCTATGTCCAGTTCTGTCATCAAGACCTTCGCCGATGAGCTTCTATTGGCTAGCAACCTCGGTATTTCATTTTTCCCTAGCTATTGCTTTGGGGTAGCTGTCAAGGGAAACTCTATTGTTTTCGAGACATATCCAAGACCCAGACGATAAAATTTTCCCGAGGTAAGTTATCTTGGGAAAAATCGGTCACACTTAAAAAATCAAGTTTCCCTAGGTAAACTGTCAACAAGTCGTGTTTACCTGGGTAAAAAGTCTGTAGTGTGACCACAGCTATTGGTATTTCAGGAAATAGGAATCAAGTATATTGGCATCCATTACCCCACCCCACCCCCCTGGACCAGGCCTGGTTTTTGTGAGTGTCGCGTACAAGGAGACAATGGAAGTGGAATCACAAGTCATAAGGATGTGGTTTCACTGTGGTTTTGAACATTTTGATGTCATTTCTATGGTCATTAAAATTATATAGACCATGGAAAACTGTTTGCGATTTGTAGTTTATAATAACATTGAAAGTTTTTGACATCAGTTCCATTTCTCTTAAAGTTTCTCAAGAAGTTGCATGAGCAAGGATCAAAAAAACAAATTGTGCCACCATCACATCATTTCCATGGTCCTTACTCTTACTGACCAAAGTTCTCACGTGGGGGAACTCATTGGTCCCACATTGGTCTCCTCTAGGGCTTTAATATTAATTCTGGGACAAGCATCCCTGTCACTTTTATATGGGATTACCCCTGGGAGTTCTCAACCAATTGGCATGCAAGGAATCGTTCAGTTACTGTAAAAATATTTTTTGTTAATATGATTGTTAGACAAATTAAGGCACTGGCCTTTGTAAAAAATATTTTTGAATTTTCTTTTGTATGCTTTATTAGAAAGCATTTTGAGTATTTTTGTTGTCTTGTCTGATATTACTGTACCTTACAAAATCTAGCTATTAGCGTCACTTTTTGATATTAACACTGTAATATCAACAAATTACCATGATAAAATCTGGCACAATACCTGTTTTTGACAAAAACAATGTGCCTGCTTACATCCCAATTTGTGACTGTGCATTTAAAGTTTGCGGAAAATATGTATTGCACAAAATTGAGGAAAGGCCTTTTCATTTTGCTGTGGAAAATATTAAAATTATTACTATGTTTTGTTTTTTCAACTCATGCTCACAACAGTCTGCCCAAAAAGCCTTCAAGATACATTTCTGATATGTGATCTTTTGATATTAGTGTCAGGTACTGCATAAGATAAGTGGTGTATTTTGCAAATTCCTGTCTGCAAAGTGCAAAAAAATAACAACCAACTGAAGTTGAAATAAAGGCATGTCTAAAAAATTTGGTACTTGGAAGGGAAACAACAACATGAATAGTTATACAATTCCCTTTCACTTCTATGGGTAATATTTGGAAAAAAAACAAGAAAGAGAGGTGAAATTTGGTTGATATAGATATGAATATATAATATGACAAATGTGATGTACTGGTTTAAGTTTCTTTTTAGGGAATGACAGATTTAAAGAAAACACATTATTTTTATCTTTACATTGCCACTCCATATCTAGGGGTGTAGTAATGTCAAAATTTAAGAGAGGTTGGGATGTTAAATTCCATCACATATCTAATCAAGAAAGTATTATGTCACTAAGGTAAGGTGTTTAATCAGTTGTAACATGAGCTTGTTGAACCCTTAAATTCGTAAACAGGACGTTTGGGCCACATTTAAACTTCTCTGGATTGTAATCTTTTAAAATTTATTCCTATTTATAGTCACGACTGTGAGCCTGAGTGTTTTTTGCCATCCAAATAACATCCAAATTTCGACATTGTAACAAAATAATATTCCTAAATAAAGTCACTCAGGCTAATCTATTCACGTGCACTGCCTGATACAAAAATTAACCCAAAAACCCAATAGGAAAAAAGTGGGGACGTATTCCCCAACCGATGCGGTCGCAGAACCTCTGTGTTTTAAAAGGTAAAAAATCAATGATTGATAAATGAATAAAATAAGATATAAAAATAAAAGTTGATAGTTTTATAGCTGAGATGAATTCATTACAACTGTCAAAACCTTATATACCTAACAACATTAGAGCCATAGTGCCATAGCAGCTCACGTGCGTTCATACCAAGGGGAAAGTATTTACATTCTCTGTCACTGCCACTACGTTTAGCTCTGCCAAATTTTCCTGAGCAAAGCATTCACACAATAATGTATTTCAATCCACAGAATGAGCCAAATTTATGTGACAAAGTTGTTGGTTACATTGCTGTGTATCGCATCTGTTTTGCCATGGCAGTGTTCTTTGTCTTTTTCTGCCTCATTATGTATGGAGTAAAAAGCAGTAAAGATGCCCGCTCTGGAATACAGAATGGTTTCTGGGGAATCAAGGTCCTGATATTTATTGGAGCCATTGTGGGAGCATTTTTTATTCCAGATGGAAAGTTCACAGAAGGTAATGGCTGTACAATGTAGATTAATAGCTTTTATATGGAAAAAAACTTTAAATGAAAGAAGATCATCGCAGTTATAGATGCAACTTTTGCACTTGTGAAAAGAAAGCAGTGACTTTTGTTACAAATAGTAACAACAAAATGAGTCCTAAACTGAATTTTTTTGGCCTTTATGTAACCATGCAATCTCTTTTAATCTTTAATTTACTTTAATAAAAAACTCCTTCAATTGTAAAGCACAGCAAAGACTAAAAGAAAAACACCTCGTTGAACAACAGCCACAAGATCAGCCACAGAATTCACATGAACGGGATATTCTACAAAAACATCTTCAGATTGATCGATTGACTCACGCCATGAATAATTATTTTATGGCATCTTTGGTGCTTTTTATGCATCATTGATGCAGGACGCAGAGGTAACAAAATCACTGGAAAGCCTGAAAAATTCAGGTTTGTACCAGATTCAAACCGGCCCCATTGATCTCTGTGATACCAGTGTAGCACTCTACCAAGTTAGCTAACAAGCCAACTGGAAGCAGGTCCTGTTCCTTACCATTCTTTTTACCAATGGTAGTATTTATAGCACTGATGTTAGTGGGGCCAAGTGATTGCCTGAAACAAATAATTTAAATCAAACTTAACGGGGTTATGAATAATATTATCTAACTGGCCAGAGTCCGGAGGTTGAACTTGGGCCTACCGAAACAAATCCAGCCAGCTTCAAACTTCAGGCCCCAAAATTACTAGTCCAGTGCTCTAACCGCTCGGCCATGCTGCTTCCAGGTCATCGAGTTGGTTTGTTATAAACCCTTGAAAGGTCATGAAAATGAAATAATGAATAGTTTTTATAATATGAAAATCATACTTAGATACTGCTGGGTGAAGAATTAAATGAAAAAATTTCATTATTTACAGTTATAGACACAACTTTTACAGTTGCGAATAGAAAGCCAATAGTGACATTAATATTGTGAGTCCAAGTCCCTTTATGCTTGGTTAATGAAATTAGGTAGTGTGATCAGACAAACAGAAACGTCAATGCGTGATGTTAACTGACGCCAGTCTTATCCACTTAACTTTACTTCCATCTGTGTGTGAGACATGAAAGCGTACAACCAACATTAAAATAATCTGGTATTAACATTACCTTCTCTGATAATCACTTTGCAGTGTGGTTGTATTTTGGTCTCATCGGTGCCTTCCTGTTTATCCTGATTCAGCTGGTTTTGCTTGTGGACTTTGCTCATTCTTGGAACAGCGCCTGGGTTGAAAACATGGAAGAGACTGGTTCTAAGGTATGGGCGGCACTTCTTCTCTTCTTCACGTTCTTGATGTATGGCACTTCTGTGGCAGGAATTGTGTGCCTTTACGTCTACTTTACCCATGGAATCAAGGATGCAGCAGCGAGTGAATGCCACACAAACAAGTTCTTTATCAGCTTTAATTTGATCCTTTGTATTATTGCCTCAGTTTTGGCAATTCATCCTAAAGTTCAGGAACATCAGCCCAGATCTGGTAGGTACCTCAAGAAGAGGAATAATTTTAAATAAAAACTGTAAAAGTGCCACAAGATAGGATCATTCTACTATGCATAACGGATATACACTCATATAGCTTAAGGTCAGCTGCCACCGTAATTTCAACATTAAACTTTCAACATTAAAAAACAGAAGTCTTCCTTTTCAAACAAGCTTAAGTGTGAAATGCAATGCCAATACACTTCAAAAAGCTTAAATTCGGCAATATGATTGCATGGGATTCTCATGCAGATGCCAAAGGACCAAGATGAATTCAGGTTATCTTGAGCTGCTCACCAAAACATGCCAACACTGAAAGTCAAAGTGCAACACAATATCTTTACATATTTTATTATGTTTACTTTTGCCCTAGGTCTTCTTCAGTCTGCAGTTATTTCATTGTATACGGTCTATCTGACTTGGTCAGCATTGCTGTATAACCCAGGTTAGTCTCTTTTTTTACCTTTTTATTTGCCTCTAAACCACACCTATTTAGTTTACAAAATGTTATGACTCCACTTACGATCTAGTGAAAACCAGATTGTCAGAGTTGGAAGCAGAAGGATAAACCAATAACAATGCACATTCCCACCCCTTGTGATTGGTTTAGCTTCTTCCTCTCTAAACCAGCCTTTAGTAGAATAAGAAAGGTTGCAAAACAGGCTAACAAGATAACATATTTTATTTCACTACAAGAATAAACCTTGAAACTCTGACAACCTAGTTTTAACTTGATCAAAACGACAGAGTCAAGACTAATTGGAATTGTCCGGAATCAGAATGCTGTTTCCACTAGATCTTTAAGTTGATGCTTCCGATTACCTCTCTAAACCAGCCTTTAGTAGAATAAGAAAGGTTGCAAAACAGGCTAACAAGATAACATATTTTATTTCACTACAAGAATAAACCTTGAAACTCTAACTTACATCTAAGCAGTAACTGGAAAAGCGGCATGGATATTTTCTGCAACAGTCAGAAAACAGTCAGTGCAATTTACAGTCAGGCTGTAATCTGCAGTCTGCAGTCTGCATTTGCAAAAGTCAAACACTGCTGGAACACTAGCAAGACAAGATATATATGCTACATATATATATATAATATATTATTATTATAATTAGGCTTTTGATATTTGTGGATGCTGAGTAAGTGAATAAGTGGAGTGAAGCAATTTATTCCAGTCATTACTAAATAAGTCGTAATGACATTATTGTTTCAGATTCCTCTTGCAACCCATTTGTCAATACTGATCCCTCAGTAAAAAGTATTGACACCCAAGCAATCATTGGCTTAGTACTGATGTTTCTCCTGGTTATATATGCAAGTATCAGGACAGCAAGCAGCTCACAGGTTGGAAAGCTGGCCCTGGCAAGTCGAGCAAGTACAGGGGGGACCTCAGAGGCCACAACCCTGCGAGAGGGGGGTGAGGCAAGTGATGTGAACCTAATGGAGGAAGGAAGTAGACAGCAGGTAAGGCCTGAGAAGCTTCCATGTGAATTCGGGATGGGTGAGGGGGGAAGGGGAGGTTGGGGTGTGAAATCCTTGGCCTGTGCCAAACCTTTCCCAGTTACCTTTTCCAAACCCTGTTGTAGACATGGCAGAAATCTCTTCCTGTATCCTATCCCAGACAAGCCGTTCACCTCAAATTCAAATTTCATTCCATTGACCAATTTTCCTATATTGTTGATACTGTGTCATTCAATGTAAAACCTTAGCTAGCCTAGCCTAAACTGCTTGAAAACCATATTTGCACATACAATGTACCCATATAGACTAGACTAGCTGTTAACCACAATGTAAAATTAATTCTTCATTCTACTGACCAATTTCCCATATAACTGATACTGTGTCATCTAATGGAAAACCCTAGCAAGCCCAGCCTACATGTAAACTGCTTGAAAACCATATTGGCATATACACTGTACCAATATAGGCCATAATGACTGTGCCCTCCCCTGGACAAAGCTCGTTTACATGTGGATATTGTCCCCCAATTTCTGCTAACACTTTGATAATCAGTTAACATTAAAATGAAATGACTTTTTGTAGGTATATGATGATGAACAAGATCGAGTGGCTTACAGCTACTCCTTTTATCATTTCATGCTGTTTTTGGCCTCACTTTACATCATGATGACTCTGACCAACTGGTATAAGTAAGTACTCTTCTTTTTTTGTTTTATACCGTCCGAATTGGGGTTCAGTGCATGAGGCAAATCTGTCAAGTGCAAAATATTCCATTATCAAAATGTTGATTGACACAGTGAAACGCTGACTACCAGCCCTGTCCACAGGCATCAGGAATGATTCCAGCTCTGGTTTCTGAGAAGTTTGTTTTGCTTCTGCTTTTGTGAAATTGATCTTCAAAGACGTTACAACAAAGCTTGGACCCAGTGCTTGGTAGTGGCCATGAAAACTGTCAAAGTTTGAAACTTTGAAAAATTATAAAACACAAAGGAATGATACTAAGCTAAAACTTGTTCTTAGAAGGAATCACAACAATAAGAAGATGTCAATTAGTGAAAAATATTTTCTGGGATTACTGCACTTTAATCCTTGTTTTAACGTTTCCAATGATGTTTACCCAGTGTGCATCAGAAAACACATAAAGAAGGGAGTAGGGAATAAATATCTACAAGAACATGGGATTTATTAATGGAAGTCATTAAGGCTGTGTACTTGATGATACTCCAGGTCTTGAGCCTGTTTTGCACTACAGCCTGACAGTCAAACCTGTGTACAACGGTCACCCTTGATAAATGGCAAGGTGTCCGTTATATACAGGGTGACCACTATATTAGGGTCAACCTTGTAGAAAATATATAAGGCAACTGGAAATTTTGGGAAGTATTCTGGTGACTCTAATATACAAGGTGACTGCTATATACAGGTTTGACTGTAGCCCTTTCACTGCCAAATGTGGCCAAAGGCAAATTTCGACCAAATTTCCAAATTTTATTTTCTAAAATTTTGACAAACAAATAGCATCATGTGAAAGTACAGGCAGAGAGCTTTAATTTGGATGGTCACATCACAGGATTTCATCTACAGACTCAAAAGTTAGAGTCATCTTACAAAACTCCATCTAGCACTCCGGCAGTGAAAGGGGTAGTTACTTTAGTTGGTAGCATAACAACATAAACAAAGGGTCAGTTGTTTCCTTGCATCATGATGTTACTTTGTTTTGATGGTCTTGTCACCCTTGCTGACATAACAGCATAATGACTAGTTTCAATTTCTGCCAATCTTGCCCAGCTACTGGTAATAGAGCCTATTATAATGACCTTCTTTAGTCATAACACCAAGATGAACCAGCAACCTCATTCCGGTGATCCTCTCCTTCTCATTTCCTGGAGCAAGGGATCGAGGTTGGATGAACCAGGTGTAATACTAATCTTTCTCTGAGCTGTTGACCCAGTGTAATGTGTAGGTTGTGTATTTGGGTGTTATTTAAATGTGTGCATGCTCTCTTTTAGTAATTAATTGATGTGTGTATTTGTATAGGTAATAGCATTATTTGTAGTGATATTTGGCATAAATACCACAAGTGATATTTCAAAATTGTTATACGTAATTTCACAAGCCGTTAGGCGAGTGAAATTTGAGACAATTTGGAAATGTCACGAGTGGTATTTACGCCAAATATAACATACAAATCTTGCTACTATTTGTTTATACTACTACACACTAAAGGTTTGTAATTTTCACATGTAGGTATTTCAAATTAAGCTGAAATATAGGATTTGTCAGGATATTCTGACAGAACAATGTCCAAGAGGCCTACCTACCAAAAGTGAGCATTTCGGGGCAAATTGTCTCTGAGATGTTAGCCGGTTATACTCAGAAAACTCCATACAAACCCTTCTAATTTTTTTGGGGGTCAACCCAAAAAAATTTAGAAGGGTTTGTATGGAGTTTTCTAAGCATATCTGGGCTAAGATCTCAGAGACAATTTGCCCTGAAATGCTCATTTTTGGCAAGTAGGCCTCTTGGACATTGTTCTTTCAGAATATTATGGCAAATCCCACAATTTCAGAAATTTCATTTTTGTGATGTCACACTTTAGTACTCTATACCACTGCTCTAAGCCAATCAAAGGTCGTTATTTAACTTATTACATTTTCTTTGAGTTGTTTTCCACCTACTCATATACCTTGTCAGTAACTGTGCCCACAGTGTGGGTGCATGGCTCCCCCTAAAATGTTCTACAATTGGTATAGGATTTAATGGAGCCAAAACCAATTGCGGTATTGCGCACATTTTAGGCATCCTACTGATGAACAGTTATAACTTAAAGACATTTTAAACAATAACAATTTGCCCTCTGTTCTCTTTGAATTATTGTTTTACAATTCAGGCCTCAATCCAGTAACCTACACAACCTGACAAACAGTGAGGCGGCAGTATGGATCAAGATCTGCTCTAGTTGGATGGGACTGTTGCTCTACATCTGGACCTTGATTGCTCCTGTTCTGTTCCCTGATCGAGACTTTGACTGACCACGCCCATTACTATGACCTTGTTGGTATCTGACATAAAAATGATCAAATTGGCAAGGCCGTCATTATCATTACTAAACGTCTTGAAATGCTGGGATGTTTTTTTGATTTAGTGCAAATATTTCTTTTGCTGCTATAAATGTTAAGATCTTCTGTTGCAAGGTCAATGTGATACAAGTTTGGATGGTAGCTAGGTAGCTAGGTAGGTAGGAAGGTGAGTAATTTTTTAATGTAAAAGATTAAAATCAAAAGAAAAACATGTATGCCCCAACAACACTCAGCTGGTGTCCATGGAGGGCATATTTACACATAAAAGCTAAAGATTAAGACTAATATTACCTTACTGAACTAAATTTAATGTTTCAGAAGTATCAGACCAGTAGCCCTATTACCTAGATACGTAGTTGGTAGTTCACAACCTGAACAATATTACTTCAAAAGAGCTCCTAAGGATGGGCTGGTCATTCAGCATTTTGTACATTGATGTGGTCGTGGCTACCCTGGGTGCCAGAGGCTTCTATGGTGCGGTTTCTGGTTTCAGTCAAGGCCTGCATCTGATGAAGCTTCTCATCTCATGCAAGAAGAAACCTCTGGTACCCAGGGTAGGTCTTGGCATAGTGCTGTCTAGCATCAAGTCTGTCACCCTTAAGGCGAGGGGGTGCTGTTAGGCCCTTGGTCCTCAAAGCCCCACCCATGGATCCCCCAGTGATTTTTTTGTAGGCTAGTGTTTGTAGCTTGTAGTTTGCCAGTATTGGCTCTCACAGAGGCTTTTGCTATTCTAACTAAGAGAAAGTTGGTTCTGATACATACAGCTTATCTTTAATTTAATTTTCCAAGCAACACAATCGTGCTGTTTAATTTATTGTCCAGTCACTCCAGTATATTATTTTGATCCTGAAAGAAAATAATTTAACCTTTACAAGAGGAATTGATTAAAAGGAAGAAAGAGATTTGTTGAAAAGCGAACTTTTGTAATTGAGAAGTGGGATGAAAAGCTTAAGAGCCATGGACTTGGAAGTTGATTCTTGTTTTAGGGTAGTCAGGTAAATTTGAATGGTATGTACATTGAAACTGTACAATTATTTATGTACGGAAATAGGATTAAAAATTGCAGTTGAGTTTAGACTCCTGTGAGAATTTTGAATGGCTTCAAAATCTCTGATAAAGATCAACTCATTCTTGCACTAATATCTTAGATTTGGGGTTATTTTGCTCTAAAAAATTGGATGGATTTAAGGTTTAGCCGTGTCTTTACTAGATATAAAGACACTCATTATTAAACATTAATTTATTTTGTTTTTTCTTTATGAGTTATTAATGAGTTTTTGAATAGCATTTATTTTTGCTCTAATATTCTGAAATGCTTTCCCAGCAATTGAAGGCGTTTTTTTGGAAATTTATTAATAGATAAATTTAATTGGTTATGAAAGAGCTATATAAGATAAGTTACAGAAGACATAAATGTTATGGAATGAATTACACAGACTCTGTAGACATTGTGTCACAGTATATTGTAAATTTTTGTGAAGTAAAATATTAATTTTTACACTTAATTACTTTTTATACTTATTTATTTACTTGGGCTGGGAATCATCCCAAGCCTTTATACTTGCTGGCTTAAAATATTTTCCATACAAAAAATAACTTAAATTGAATGTGATCTGAATCCATTTGGAAGATGGCCTCTAGGGGGTGTGTTGATTTCATGTAATGCATGTCTGACAAGAGCAAAACTTCTAAATCCCCACTATCTATGCACAGTACTGTGCAAGTCGCATCAAGATGCTCCCTAAGGCAACACTAATATTGAAGGGTCCCCAACAGTTTTGTCAGGATCGGTAATTTCCCTTATTTGAAGTTCGGGATTCACGATTTTAAACAAAATCAGGGTGAGATTTGGGATTGAAAGTATCCGCACCTGTGACTTTCAACCCGCAACCTGCGGCCATTAGTCAAACTCTTAATGTGGAGATCTTAGTGTTCATATATACACAACATATACAGGGTGCAAAATAGACTCCTCTTTTAAAATTGCTATCCATTTAATCCCTTTCTTCAAAAAATGGTACATACATGCTGTAGTTAATTTTTTATCTCAGGTAATTTTTATTTTAATCTTTTGTTTCAACTTCATTTGCATACATAAACATACCCAAAAACAATAGAAAAGTAAAAATCACCAGTGAGATAAAATTTTAACTGCAACATGTACCAGAGTTCTTGTGTGATCCCAGGGAATTACAGAAAGCTCTTGGTAAGACAGATATTGTCTATGACAAAGCAACATGTGGAGAAATCAACTATGCAAACAGTTTAGGATTAATTTCTGGATATGTGGGACAAGAGGCGAAAAAAATGAGGGCATACTCTTAGTAGTAGTAACACTTTTCAATAGGGTGTATAATTACAGTCGCACTGTATTCTTCATTATGGCCCTATTAAACTACTAAAATGCTTAAAGACTAAAATACTAAGGAAAAAATACTTTAAAATATCAAATTTAAGAAAACTAAAACCGTTCTGTCAATTCTAAAACTCGCAGGTGACAATTTACTCTAATTTACTCATGAATAAAAACTTAAATAAGTACTTTAAGATAATAGATTATCAAAATAATACCGCACATTGATTTTTCAGCAAAATAAGCCCCTCCATGTTATAAGCCCCCCTCCAACATAAGCCCCCCAAGCTTGCTTATATCTTGTTCAACGTTTCAAAACCCTCAGATGTGCTGTAAAATCACATCATCTTTTCAAATTTTAAGTTTTATGCAAAATTTGTGTTCAGAGGGCTTGTAATTCATAATTTCAAAAAAGTTTGTCCCTGACCAAATACAACTTAAATTTTAAAAAAATGGTGCGGGTTTGAAAAACCAAATCACAACTTTAAGACTACCCACTAATCGTTTTTGAGGCAAAGTCATGCAAATTTCCCATAAAAGATGTCACCCCTCTGAATAAATGGCCTGTTCTAAAACTCGCAGGAGACAAGCCCCTCAAAATTTACCTTTGAAAAAAACTTAAATAAGGGGCTTTATTTAATAGATTATTAAAATAATACATCATTTAAAAACTTAAAAAATTGTCAATTTTAAAACTGTCAGGCGTGAATTTACACACGTCTGAATCAGTAATTTCTTTTAAACTTTTTTACATCAGAACAGCAGACTAAACAATGGTGGATCCAGACCTTTAGATAAGAGAGGGGGCAGTCATCCAAAAGTCATCTCAAAAAAAAAATTTTTGGTCTAAAAAATAGGGGGGCCCTCTGGGCCCATTCCCTGGATCTGCCACTACTAAAACATTATTGTTGACATTACTGCATTGTAAAAGAACACCGCCCTCATGCTGTGGTGACTGGAACCTAATCTACTTGACTAAGCTGTCTACTCTCATTTCAAAAATCTAAAAGGGAGTCTTAACTTAGGTTTTCAACTTAAGGTATTGTTCTTTGATTACCAAGCTTTTCATTTGAGCTTATCAGACTCTAAAAGATAATTGCCATCTCATGATTTAGACTCCACATGGCTTTGTTCCTAGCAAATTGAATTTTGTTCCACAGATCTCTAGGGATCTGATTCCTCTCTTTACAGTCTTCATCTTTAGCATTATTGCGGGATGTATCAGCAAGCAAAGAAAGTGGTGTCCGATAGCCTGGGGCTGGTGGATTTTGCTATCGGGCTAGTGAATTCTGTTCTTAACTTGCCTGATGGGCAAGTGAAGTTTTTTTAGGAATTAAAATTACGGAAGAACTTTGAAATCAATTCTGCTCATCAAAATGTATTTGGGGCTAGCTGAAATGATGTTTGGGCTAATATATGGTAGCTTCAACTTGCCCGAATGGCAAGCTTTAAAAATGACTTTCTTTGCACCCTGTGTATGCGTATAAGGCTGAATAATTGTGTTCAGCTTGATTCACCATGTTATACTCGTGTAGGTCAGTGGGGTTATCTAGTGTAACTAATTCATCCAAGGGTATTCGAGAGAAATCTTCCATTCGATTTTTCCTGAAATTAAACAGCAAATAAAGACCAACCCCAGCTGCTAGTACACCAACAATCACAGCAGCCACAATTGAGCCTTTCTGTGCAGCTGTGAATCCTCCTCCTTTGCTTGCCTGGGATGAGCTTTCTTGCAATGGCTTGATTTCATACGGACTTCCTCTAAAACTGCACTTGCCTTCTTTGTTACATAATTGAATATAAACATTGTAACTGTCTGCAGAGTTGAGTCTTTGCAGTAGAGTTCTGTTTGATGAAGCACTTACATTATATGTATGCTTCCCCTTCAACAAATCCTTGCGGCTTAGCAGAGGGTACTCAGTGTAGAGGACATATTGTCCTGGAGTGCCTTTCCAAGAAGATTGTTTTACCGGCGTCCATTCCACAGTCACATTTCTCAGAGATTTATCATCAGGAAAACGTACAGAGTGATGAAGCTGAACCACCGGTGGATTGATCGGACGTGCTCCTGGTGTCCAGACACATTTTGGTCCTAGCACATTACTTGGCGCACTGAGCTTTTCATGAGAAGTTAATGTTTGTAACGTGACATAGAAGCAATACTTTGTATTTGCTTCCAGCTCTTTCACTATTGTGAATTTGGTTTTCGTTGTCACTTCCTTGGTCTTGTTAGCCTTATTTTCTGCATGGTATGTTACTTTGACAAGTGTATTATCACGAGAATATGCTGAATCAAGTTCCCATTTTACCCTCACATCTCCTGTCTGTTCTGTCAGAACAGAGAAGTCTGTAGGCGGTAGAGGAGTAGCTAAACCATTTTCAACGACTGGTGCAAAAATGCAGCTTTCAGCAGTTCCAACTTCATTTGAGGCTACCACACAAATAGTATAGTCCCCAAATTCCCCAATGCTTAAGAAGAAGACTTTTTTCTCCAAAACGCAAGAAAATTCCTTATTTGCACTTAAAATGTTTGTGGGTTGGCATTGAGGGTTACTACTCCATTTGCAGGAATAATGATTATGGTCTGCATCTACAGAGTCATTTGTACAAAGTTTCACAGAGTAGTTGACAGCTAAACCGCCAGTCTCTTGTGATGCAATCCAATAAACATACCACTTTCTGACTCCCAGTGGGCCAACAACACTTCTTCTTAACATCCGTGGTGGGCTTGGACCTGTTCTTCCACTACTCGAAGACCCATCAACGATTGCTCCAAAAAACATACACAAAATGAAAATGTTTACAAGGAAGCAATTGTTCATTTTCCTTGTTTTATAACTGGTTCCATTCGGCAACCAAGTGGTCCATGTTTATCAAATGCAAAGTATTATTTCCGTTAAAATATACCCACATTTTCCCACTTCAAATAAGTAAATATGGTTGCTAAAAGTCCTTGTTTTCGCGTTTGATCTGCCACCATACCACTGAAGCTTTCTCTCATCTGGGAAACGTTCACTTCCTCTTCTGCTTCTCAAAACCACGTGACCAAGAAACGACGGGCTCTGGGGACAAGAATAGTAGGGACAAGCAACTACGACGTGACGACGACGACAACACAAAAAAGAACACAATTGGTTTTATCTTATGAGCAAAACAACGGCTCTGCACGTGCATCATGCTGTTTAGAACATTTCTTTGACATCAACTGCACGACTGCGACTTGAAACCTCCCAACTCTTATGATGGTCTAGGCGTGAATTGGACGTGAAGACACTCATTAAACATGCATTCTTTTGTTTTTTCGTTATATATTACTCATGAGTTTCCAAGGCTGCGGTCGCTTACGAGAGCTCATTCTCGTAAGCGACAAGCTCTAGTTACGATCACTTTTTCGAATTTCCGAGGTGGCAGCTTATGAGAGCTTCGACTGTAATTTATTCTTGTTTTTCACACTACCATGTTTCTACCAATAGCATAGCCCCAATATTTCTCGCGTTAGTAACACGAAATTAATCCAGCAAGAGACCCCCAATTCGCATGCTAAGCTAAGACCAGCTAAAGCTGATAAAAGCACACCTGCCTAATAGTGATTATAAGGAAGCCCGGTTCCATTAAAAATCTAGTTGTTTAGTTACTCACACGATTTTTCCACGCAGTAACACGCGAAGGCTGTACTGTTTCCTGCAGAATTCAGTCCTACGTGCAAGAGAAATGTTTACCTCTCCGAAATCTTATCAAGCCGCCCGGTGTCCCCGCGGGGAAGTGATTTTAGGGGCGGGGTTTATTATTGGGTAGGGTGGGATTTGAAAGCCGTACGTACCTTGGGGAAATTTCAAGCTACTCCCCTTTTCGTACTGAAAACTTTGCAAGGCTGTAATCTGACTCGTGCACGGGATCGGAGGCGCGCAAACAGTGAAACTTCATTTGTTGCGGGCGACAAGAGGAGCCCGCAATCTTAATCTCCAGGTTGTTATTACGCATGCGTCGCATGTATGTAGCCTGGAATGGAATGCACATCACGCAGGCTAGAATGCACAGAACGCAATTTGATCACCTGCGTTTCTACCTTCTATCCCCGGTAATCTGATCGCGCGTGGGTTGACTATCAGTCAAAAAAAAAATCGGTCACGTGAAACTTACGCAAAGGATAGCCTAGCGATGGGCAAAAGCGTTTGGATTTCCGATGGTTGTCGCCTGCACTTCCTAATCTTTGGTTTTTACTAGTTTGTACAGTGAAATCTCTATTAAGCGGACCCCTTATTAAGTGGACACTAAGTCGGTCCCGAAACAAACGTCTGATATTTCCCTTTATAACGAACCTATTTAGCGGACGCAGACACTAAAATAAATTGTATTTGGCTAATTTCTATTGTTAAAAACCTCTATTAAGCGCACATCGGACTGAATTGACAATAGTAGTAATGGATTACGTCCTTGAAATGCGCACTGTAGTCGGTTAATGTTTTTGCGTTTACAAACGAATTAAAGTTGGTAATGATAGGTAATGAACTTGGACTCTGGATAGCTTCCTTAATAACATGGAGCTTTATCACAGTAAGGAGTAACCGTCAAATGTAAATCGTTAACGAACATTGCGCAATTTTCACAAACCTCAATTTGGGGAACACCCTCTATCAAGCGGACACTTGGGAAGGTCTCGAAGGTGTCCGCTTAAAAGAGGTTTCACTGTATTTCATGTTCAGAATATTCCCCACCGTCTCCTCCCATGCAGAAGTGAAATGGTTCATACTCTCTACAACAAGGCGGAAGTGCTGTCTGTAGAGAGATCGTGGTCATAGAGGTTTTTACACTCACTGCATTGAATTGTTTGCCTCACTTAAGGTACGTATAACTTCTTCAAATATCTCACGGGGAAGCTGATTCTGCTGTCGCGTAGCTCAGTGATCTGAATAATACGTAGTTATTTGAAGCCTAATGAAATCGTCTGGGTAGGCACGTAGGTCATCCCTGGGGGGAGGTGGGAGGGTCGCCGCTTCACGGTACTTTGTTTCTAAGCTCGATTCGATATATGGTATGTTTCAGTCTTGAATTTTAACCTTAAAATTAGTACTATTACCTTGATGGATTTAACCAAAGAGCGATAGCAAGTTCTCATTAGGTTATTTAATTGTACTGAGTGACCGCAAACATGCAAGACCCCCATGCAAGAGAATTGTGCCCGTAATAGTGCTTTCATACGCACAGGCTATACTTCACTTTTCAGTTTTACAGTGCCGATGAGCGGGCTTTTCATAACGTTCCAGTCTCTCCACCATTTTGGTACAATCAGGACTATTTTGAATGTTATATGACTATTAAATCATAACACTGTGAGAGAGCAACAGCGGAGAGATTCTCTCAGATATATGCCAGTCCAGTTTGGCATGTCTTTCAAGAATCGCTGTCATGTCACTGTCGAAAAACCCGAAAATCCTATCCCACGAATCATGAACTAGTGTTCGATCTGCTTTCACTGGGGGTAAATTTAGGGGTCTTAGTGTTCGTATATACAGTGCACAAAATAGGCTCCTCTTTTAAAATCATTATCCATCCGATCCCTTTCTTCGAATGGTATTTATATAAAGGCAAAATCTGCATTGAAGTGACATTGTTTATTTAAACACCGACAGATTAACTAGTGGAGCCAACAATGTTCAATCGAACTTAGCCTGCGTAGCAAGCGTTTCCAATCGAGTTATTGCGCGAAAGTTATTCCTTTTTTTGCTGTCTTCCCAACTGACGAACTCGCGCGGAAACGTTTGCTACTCAGGCTAAATCGAACTCAACCAACTTACTTAATTCTAGCAACTAAGTTACCTTAAAAATTTTCAACGAGGTTCTTTGCTTTCCAAATTACGAGACAAGTAAGATGAAATCTTAGTTTTTGAAATTAGAACCCTACTTTTTCCCGACTGATTAGACTTTTAACGGCAACAATTCTACTTCATAACTAAACGAATTGGATTTGGGGGTCTTCAGACGGCACCCGAACTGACAGCGGACCTGGGGCAAAATCCAGATTCGGACTTAATGTCAATCACAGACTAGATGATTGTGAAGTTTAATTTCAAGAGGTTTTTCGTTTTTTGTTTTTTTTTTTCAGGCAATGGCCTCTGCTGAAGGACCTGAGTGTAGAGTCTGTTCCGAGCCATTTGATGATCAAAACATTTGCCCTCGCGTGCTGAGTTGTGGTCACAGCTATTGCACCGGCTGCCTGGAACGGTTAACCATTGAAGACGACAAAATGTCCTGCCCCACGTGCAGAGTTGAAGTTAACCTACCTCCAGCTGGGGTCGCGGGACTGCCAAAGAACTTCGAGTTGTTGAGCATTATTAATACAAAAGTCACACCCCATCACGAAGAAGGTGAACGCTTATACACTTGCGAAGCTTGTAGTGTTAAACATCCTGCCACCTCTTTCTGCTTAAACTGCCAAGAGGACATGTGTAATCTTGCACGGGGCTTTCATTCTCGCAGCAAAGCAAGTTGTGATCACAAAGTTGTCTCCTTGGAGTCGTCGCTTGTGACCGTTTTCTGTCAAGAACATAAACAGCGATTCCGTTTATTCGAATTTCCCTTATTTGAAGTTCGGGATTCAGGATTTTAAACAAAATCAGGGCGAGATTTGGGATTGAAAGTATCTGCACCTGCGACTTTCAACCCGCAAACTGCGGCCATTAGTCAAACTCTTAATGTGGGGGTTCTTAGTGTTCATATATACAGGGCGCAAAATAGACTCCTCTTTTAAAGTGTATTCAGGATGTAAGTGTATTCAGGATTTTAAACAAAAATCAGGGCGAGATTTGGGATTGAAAGTATCTGCACCTGCGACTTTCAACCCGCAACCTGCGGCCATTAGTCAAACTCTTAATGTGGGGGTTCTTAGTGTTCATATATACAGGGCGCAAAATAGACTCCTCTTTTAAAATCGCTATCCATTTAATCCCTTTCTTCAAATGGTACATACATGTTGTAGTTAATTTTTTTTTTATTTTTGTTTCAGCTTCATTTGCATACATAACCATACCCAAAAACAATAGAAAAGTAAAAATTACCAGTGAGATAAAATTTTAACTGTAACATGTACCAGAGTTCTTGTGTGATCCCAGGGAATTACTGAAAGCTCTTGATAAGACAGATATTGCCTATGACAAGGCAAAATGTGCAGCAACCACCTAGGCAAACAGTTTAGGATTAATTTCTGGATATGTGGGACAAGAGGCGACTTTCAATAAAACTGCTGATGACACGCAAAAATGAGGGCATACTCTTAGTGGTAGTAACACCTTTTTCAATAGGGTGTATAATAATTAACACCCTAGTATCCAGAAATTAATCCTTTTAGTAGTTTCATAGGGCCATAACGGAGAATACAGTGTGACGATAATTATTACAGTCACACTGCATTCTCCCAAAATGCTCAAAAACTAAAATACTAAGGGAAAATTAATTTAAATATCAAGTTTAAGAAAACTAAAACTGTTCTGTCAATTCTAAAACTCGTAGGCGACAATTGACATTAATTTACTCGTGAATAAAAACTTAAATAAGTACTTTAAGTGAATTAAATATTAAAATAGTAAGTCATTTAAATACCTTAAAAATTGTCAATTTTAAAACTGTCAAGAGTGAATTTACACGTCTGAATCAGTAATTTCTCGTAAACTTTTTTACATCAGAAGAGCAGACTAAACAGTGGTGGATCCAGACCTTTAGATAAGAGGCGGGGGGGCAATCATCCAGACCCTGAGATAAGGGGGGGGCAGTCTCAAAAAAAATTTTATTGCTCCTTTGGGCCTCATTTTGGTCTAAAAATAGTGAA